CCCCCACAAAACAACCAAACAAACAAACAAAAAAAACCCAACAACAACAACAACAAAAAGCAAACAAAAACAAAACCCCCAAACCTGCAATAACTAGGCCTATGTATCATCAATTCTTTTCTCGGAGATCGTGATGAGGACATAATCTGAAAAGGAATGCGAGCTTGATAACAGCTGGACCAAAGATAAGATAAATAAAGAAAATGATAATATAAATGACGAGCAGTTAATATTGTTTATTACACGTTTTTTCTTTCGCTGTCAGGTAGTGGGCAGGAGAAATAATCATCACCATAATAATAACATGGCATTATAATAGTCCTATTATTGATCCGTATTCGTCTTCTGTACCCTCACCGCTGCAATGTCTTAGCTTGATGCATCTTTTCCGTCATCTCTGCACGGCTGCATCGATCATAGACCTTATTAATATTAAAACCCACACGTAAGTAATTATTATATTGCGTTACGGAGTGATTCCATATTTCTATATTTCTGTTCGTAAAGGCCACGACTTGGAACTTATGGTCGGTATAAGAGTCATTTGTCATTTTCTCATTTTACAGGGGAAAAAAAAAGTACGATTCAAGAAAAAGTATAAGCGTTATACTTATGATAATTTTTTTTCGCAAGAACTGATATTTTACAAAAGCGATTTTGGATTTTTACACTGCCATTTATTTCAGAATTATTCATTCATTCATTTATTCTTTCATTCATTCATTTTATTAGTATTTTTACGTGTTTGTTTATTTGTTTGCTTGTTCGCTCGCTCGTTCGTTCGTTCGTTCGTTCGTTCGTTCGTTCGTTTATTTGTTTGTTTGTTTGTTTGCTCGTTTATTCTTTTGTCAATTCAAGGAAAATAGTTTTATGAACTCATTATTTCTTGCCATATTCACATCATAAAGTAGGCCCATCATAACAATTGTATGTTGTCACATCTCACCAGAACAGCATGCTAGAATGATCACATAATGTTTCTATACTGGTATATTATATTCTATCACTATATTGCATGATATGCCATATCCAATCACAGCATTGCAAGGCATAACACTGTACACATTTTGGTTCTCTTGGACATGCTATTATTAACCTTATCCCATCAGGCAACGCCCCCCCCCCCC